TTAAGAAACCTAACACTAAATCAAACCTTATGCCTCCACATGGTGGGCCAACAATAAATGCAATTGAAGTAGTCACTGACTTTGGGGCAATCAGACAAGCAAAAACCCTAATCAACTTGTTGAAGGAATATTTGTTCGAATGTGGATTCTTGTTGGAGCATAATGAAGCCTTCGAGAGAACGCTACAAAAGCTAGTGGACCAGGGGATAGTCCAATTCAGACCATACCCTGAAGAAAAATATGTAGCCGCAATTGAAGGAAAGAAGCCACTGGTAATCCCATGCCAAGGCCCAAATCTTAACAAGAAAACTCTAGTGATCCCGTGGGAAGAATCAACAGAGACCACATGAATGGCACCCAAGAAGGCTCTCCTAATATCAGCAATTCCAAAGGCCACAATGGTAATTAAGGGACCGTCACCTATCCCTTATGAAAATAACAAGGCAGTGCCATGGAGTTATGTGTACATTAATGGAGTGAAGTAAGAAAATGAGCCCTCACCAAGTCAGGGACCTGCAATTTCAAATATAGCAGGGACAAGGGGTATGACCCGAAGTGGTCAAATTTTTGGAGCTGAACCATCAAATAAGAAAGATGAGACTTGTTGTACCCCAAAATTTTCCCTCTCATTTATCAAGTAATTTCTCACAAGATCTCCTTTGGTTCAAGACTGCACCAGGGATGATCAGCTCAAGACACCTCCTCAAGCACTAATGACTGAAAATTAGGGTTTGAGATTGCACAAGGAAAATTGAACTTTTAATGTCTCATATGACTTTCATGGATTATTTTGGACCCTCAAGATTGCTCATGTCAAGTTTCAAGTCTTAGATCACATTTTTGCTCAGTCAATTGATCAAAACCAGGCACCCCTCCCCGCAGACAAATTCGTTACCTCCTTCTCCTTTTTCTTCAAGTCGGTAGCTTGGAGCTTACACCTTTCTTTATAACTACCAATGTCAGACTCCATCTTGTTCACCTTTACCTCGAGGGTTGATTTTGCTGTCTGCAGTCTCTCCATCACAACAACAGAGCTACCCTAATCACCATTAAAAACAATGGCCATCTCCAAAGTCCTCATCATACCAGCAGCGTCCTCGACAAGCCTTTTTCTCTTGCCCGCAGTATCGAGGCCCTGGATGACCAGAGAATCAACCCGAGGCACGTATAGAGGATAACCTTCAAAAAAACTATTCTCAAGGAAACAAGGAGGCAACGTAAACTTAGCTTCAGGGGCGTCCCTCGGGAGGTCAAGAATAACATCCTCCGGGCGACCCATATTTCTACCCAAATTCTCCTGCTCAGAAGGGGACTGATCGACAGTCGGAGACGAAGAAGAAGTACCAGTACCATCCTTGGGTTGGTCCGGAGGCGGGGCGAAGCGAGTCTTGGTCGTTTTCTTCAAAACCTTCTGGGCTTTCCCCTTGTTATGCGCCAGCTTGAGCATATGCTCCTTCATACTTGACATCTTATCTACAACAAATAACAAACACATGTCAGTACGATGAGGAAAAAACACATGGACACACTAAAATAAGTAAAGCCTGGCTACCTAAAAGCACTACAGCTTCCTCGAAGGTTTTACATTCGAGGAGCTCCTTGGTATTGATAAGTCGGTCCTCATACACAGGCTGACCATTATCATCGAGAAAATTGTCCCCACTTCTCATCACCCACTTGGCAGGGAAGAAACCATCTATAAACTTATTAAGTTTCCTGTAAGACTCTTCATCCTCGTCATCCAAATCACCTGGTTTAGTGAGGTAATACTCTGTTCCATGCAGGAAATAAGTCTCACACCAATGAAGAAGGAATTTCGAGACTATATCCGACTCCTCGTTCCTATCCTCATCATAGCACATGTTCTTGTCCTTGTCGACCATGATCGTTAGCTCAAGCACTGAGTCAAAAGCTTCTTGCGGCATAGGCTTAATAAGATAATATTGATCCTTAAAGTCTCAGACAGAGTCCATGAATATCTTAAACAACCTCTTCGATTGTTTCAGGGAAACCCAACCATGTTTCCCATTTAAGGACTATCGTTGAAGGTGAAAGCATCGGAAGAACAAAGGGGTCGTATCCTCGAGCTTAAGATATTGTTAGACGATCTCGAACGCCCGAATAAAGGCGATCACATTTGGGTAAAGTTGGAAAGGTGTTAACGCCAGATGACCGAAGACCCCGATCTAGAAATCACTGAAGGGAAACTGAAGCCCTAATTCCTTGAAGACAAAGTTATACATGGGAAAATGATTCCCCTGGTAGAACGAGCAGATCCTCACGGTCTTAACGGGTTTGAAAATCTTCCAGGTCTGCACAAACCCCTCTTCGCCCATACCGGGATCGATGATACAAATTGCTTCACTCGAGGAGGTGACATAGTGAAAGGCTATACCTCGTGCCTCAGGCCCAACCCACACTAATTCAGGATTCATAACTGTGTCCATCAGCTGGATCCCCTCAGCACCGTGAGCCGTCATACCTGAAAAGTAAAGGAAAACTGTGAATTCAACGATCAAACCAAATCCACCCTTCCACCGCAAATCAAGTGAAAGGGTTACGAGGGGCAATGAAGAAATCCCCAACCAAAGCCCTTACTCAATAACATACAAAGGGATCGGGGAATGCCTCCCTATTGTATGAATTTCATCAAGAATTCATGAATATTACGGGGAACACCTCCCCATTGTATGAATTTCATCAAGAATTCATGAATCTCACGGGGATCACCTCCCCGTCGCACGGGTTTCATCAAGAATTCATGAATCTCGCGGGGACGCCTCCCCATCGTATGAATTTCATCAAGAATTCATGAATCTCGTAGGGAAAAAGCCTCCCTTTTACATGAGATTCATCGTGAAGCTATGCATGTCGCGAGGAGAAACCTCCCCGTCACATAAACTTCGCCAGAAATCAAGCACGCCCTAAGCTAAAAAGCAGCACCCACTGCCGAAGATGGCATTCAAAGATGGTCAGACCACCGCCAAACACCAACACACGGCAGAATCTGACCAAACTCGACATACGAGGTGCACAGTGCGAAGAACAAACAAAACCCTAAAATGATAAGAAAAGTAAACCAGATCCAAAATAAACTTACTGGGTTGAGAAGAGAGACGAAGGCTGGTGAATGCACGGCGGCGACAGCAATAGGGAAAAACTCTGGAAATCAAGAAACTAGACGGAAAAAGCAATAACAAAAGTTGGACGAGAGAAGCAAAAGTGGCAAATGGTACCTAGTCACAGGTACTTACAGCCAACTCTCCATGCACAAGAAAACATGTCAATGCACGGGAAGGTGTGTCACCAAAACAGCGTGTCATTACTCCTACTCCCAGGTCGTCATGACCTTACGCCTAGGCCATCATTGCACATTAAATACTATGACACGTGGCTCCATAAACATACCTTTGTCTTCCCGAGACCCATACTCTCTCGTCTCCCCGTCAGTCAAACACCGAGCGAGAGTTAACGTTACAAGGCGCGAGCAGACAAAGCTTTCGACCACGACCCATATGAGTTGCCTCGACCGCATATACGAAAAACCGTCCAGATAATTTCCATCGCCACGAGCGGATAGGTGCGAGCGTAAACGAAGTTGATCTTCCACGACGCGCGGGCTGACCTTAAGTTATTACTCCTTCACCTAGGAGCAATGACTTGGGGGACTCCTGTTCTGAAATAGGCCCGAGAAGGGCCCAATGTCGGGCACAACCTAAATCACCTTCCACAACGGTCTAATTGGTGGCCCGATCTCTTGGAAACCAATATGGACATGTGTTGCCCGTGTGCCCTTCTTCCGAGGACACGTCACCAGCTTGCTCCGCAATCTTCGGAGACGTTACACCCTGTGTATCTGACGTGGTCAACCCACCATCCAAAGATCGCGGAGCAAGTTGACCCAAGGCGAAGACCACGTGCTGGTCTTCCCTACCCACGTAGACCCTAGCAGTCACCCATTTTGGGTTTGGAAATCCAGCCCACAATGGAGACCTTGGCCCAGTGTTGTGGACTCTATAAATACCCTTTTCACTAGATGGTCAGATATTATATTCTACATACTCTCACTTTCTGTACTTGTTCTCTGTTACTCTAAACCTTACTTTGACATCGAAATACTTTGTAGGTACACCTCCCATTCACTTCGATGACCGCAGAAACTCAGGTGTTGCAGGCCACTGAAAATCTTTCTAATCCTGATAAAATCAAAACTCGAGATAAAATCAAAGGATAAGTTACCATTTGATGAAGAAAATTGTCTATTTTGAGGCGGCAAATCCATATTACTAAATACGAATTTACATTTCTAATTGGCTTCAATCTATTTAAATTCAATCAAAAAGTTTTATGTGTAACTTTTTTAAGTTTATATCATAAGGTCGAATTCTTTAAGAAAAAGTGAATTCGAATTGGATAAAAAAATTGTTAGACATTATATTTCAGATTCTTCTTCTTCTAAAAACTAAAGAGTTAACGCACAATAAAAAAATATTTACATATCATAATCTAAGCTTTTATTTAAAAAATATCTTCAAATTGCCTCATAAGAAAATTCAATCATTGATTTAAAACAAAAGTGGAATGAAAAAAGAAATGCGTCCAACAAAAACGATTATTTTTCTCCAAAATAGAAACAAAGCCTGCAAAAACTCTACCTAATTGATAATAAGACATCCATCAACGTAGATTTTAGAATATATTATCTCTCACTTGCCAAATGGCATCAAACATTAGAAAAGACTTTTTTCTCTTTTCTTAAATAAAAATTAATATTTATCTAGATAAAAAAAAATTAATTATTAAGAAAATAGTTTGGCACCACGAGCAAGAAGCGTTACGCGTTATTGTGAGTTAGAGAGGTAAAAAGTCAGAATGAGTAACTAACTACAAATTCAGAATCCCACAATGCCATTATCTCATATTCCTCTCCATTTCAATTCAATTCAACTCTCTTCCCATTTCTTCTTCAATCTCGAGTTTCTCTTTCTCCGTCGGTGGAAATGGCGACGAATATCGGCATTATGGACAGTGCGTATTTTGTCGGCAGGAATGAGATTCTGAGTTGGATCAACAATCGACTCCAGCTCAATCTCTCACGCATTGAAGAGGTAACCAAACCCTAATCCTAACCCTAACTCTTACCGTTTTTGCTAAACTCATACTATCTTGTAATGTAGTTGTGAATACTGTTGTTTATGATCTTTGTTTGTGATATTGGATAGGCTGCTTCTGGTGCTGTACAATGCCAGATGATGGATGTGGCGCATCGAGGTGTTGTTCCGATGCATAAGGTAGCAACATTACTATGGTTTAACTTTCTTTTTGTAGTTTTTTTTTTAGGTACTTTGATGCAATGTGAGTTTTATTATAGGTTAACTTTGATGCAATGTGAGTTTTATTATAGGTTAACTTTGATGCAAAGACGGAGTATGATAAGATCCAGAATTACAAAGTTTTGCAGGAGGTTTTTAACAAGCTGAAAATTGAGAAGGTAACTGTGTTTCTTTTCATGACTATCCTGCATTTGAGGCAGCAATTAGCGTCACTACAACCGCTATTGTTGTAGTCCAATAACGTTGCGAGGAACCTTACCACTGCTATGCTATTCCACTATAGTGGTGCTATAGTGTGCGATTGACAATATCAGTATCTGTAATCTACATTTCTTCACTTCAGAGAAGGAAAGTTTTAGTATCTGATCTGGTTTTATTGCAAATCTCGATTTGATTGTTGGATAAGTTTAATGCTGATTTGTGACTTTTTTTTTCTTAATGGGAAATGTACTTTAGACAACTTCACTTGAGATTAAAACTTGTAGAAGAATGTGCGACTAGTAGTTTCTGTTTATAGATAGTGGGGATTGGCTTAACATGACTATCGTTTTGCAGCATATTGAAGTTAGCAGGCTTGTTAAAGGCAGGCCTTTGGACAATTTGGAGTTCCTCCAGTGGCTGAAACGTTACTGTGATTCTGTGAATGGTGGCATTATGAATGAGTATGCTACTTGCTTTGAGTATCTTTGCCATATTTCAAACAAGTCCAATTATTAATGTGTCTACCTAACTTGAATGAATATCTAATTGTAACTCGTAGTATTTCTTCTATGATGATACATGTCCACATGCATACATTTTAAATTGATTACAAATGCAATATGATGCAATGCAATCATATTTCTCATTGTATTGTGTAGTTTATGTTGTCAAATATTTTCATTTCAATTTCATTTATTGTTATTTTTTAGGAACTATAATCCTGTGGAGCGAAGAAGTAAGGTCGGAAAGGACCGAAATCTGAAATGTTCTATGAAGAAATCAAAATCACTGCAAATGGATAATATGCATAACTCAGGCTCAGGCAACACACTTGGTCCTAATAGAACCTCTGGTTAGTGATTTAGATTCTAAGATGTTCAGCATTCTGTCTCATGGTTTTGCAATGTGAATCTTTTCCCTTTCTCATCCCTCTTTTCTTTTTTTTCTTCCTTTTTGTCTCTTTTCTTTTGAGTATAGCCAAGCATCCATTCAGATCAAGTGGAGTGGCAGATGGGGCTAATTCTTCAGCAGAGATTCAATCTCTGTCCATAGAGGTATGAACATTAGGTTCCATGTGTGTGCTTATAACATTTTTTGGAACTGCATATATAACCTAAGAAGTCCATGACGTGTTACCAAATGGTGCAAATTCTGCATCCATTTATTTGGTTACAATTCTATACAAAGTCATTTTATTCATGTATGTAAACTTTGATGATTTTCCTGATGCTCCCTATGGTATTCAATATGTCTGTGCTCTCACATTCTCGGTCACTTGACAAATTGCTTGTTCTTTTAGGGGTATTGCCATTGAAAGTTTACCACTTGGTAAATTTATGGTTTTTTTTACCTCATTGTGTTTCAGTTAGTCACTTCTTTACTCTTCTGTTCCTGTTCCACAGGTTGCTGATCTCAAATTAACAGTGGATGCCCGTGAAAAGGAGAGAGACTTTTACTTTGCAAAACTACGGGATATAGAAATTATTTGCCAGACTCCAGAAGTGGAGAATATCTCTGTAAGAAATCTAAACCCTAATATGTGCGTGCGTGCGTGCACTTGTTATCACGTCGAACTTGGGTGTTATTCAGTGTAATTTAATCTGTGATTCTGATCGATTAGCAAATAATAAGTTTTCTTCTATCTTAATTAGCCAACAACCAACATCACATATGTTTTTGCCCAAAAAGTTAATGGTTCTGGCATTGACATAGATATGTTTAAGTGGATAGTATGGGGAATGAATAACCTTGAACATGAATTCTGATTTGAGGGTGAGCAGGTTTGTAGTAACATTTATTTTGATTAGTTGGAGGATAGTAGAGTACTAATAAACATAGTGGAAGACTTAGAAAAACCCACTGAAATCAGGAAACAATATTTAGATCTTATTGCTAAATAGTCTCCTTGAAGAATTTGCTTTGAAAAGTCATAATAATATCATTGGATCTATATAGTTGCAATTAGTGGGAAAAGGCTTTGGTGACTGTTGAATTTTTTTCTAGAATAAAAATAGAATAAATGTAATCAATTGTTATGTTCTCTATGCAGATTACTGTAGCAATTAAGAAGATTTTATATGCCACTGATACAGAGGAATCAGTGCTGGATGAAGCTCTAGATTATCTTAATCAAACTGTGAATGCGGTAGAGGCTCAAGATTATCATGGTCAAACTAGTGATGCTGAATCAGATATTGAAGCCGATTCTCAAAACTAGCTCCTGACTGGTATTCGAAGATATATGCAAACCTCTTTTTCTAAAATTCAGTTCTGTCTTACCAGTCTGGTAGTGATCTGCACTGTCCTATGGAAATAGAAAACCATGTAATGAAAATTGTCATATATTGAATTTGTTTCCTTATCATCCTTTTCAGCATCACTATAAAAATAACTTCTCTAATGAATATTGCTGAAGAATTCGTTAGCCAAAATATATTCACTGTTTTGTTTGTATGTAGTCTGAAATTACCTGCCAAGCTTCATAACCATTTATAGTCATGCTAGTTGTTGTGAAATGCTGCCAAGCTTCAATGAAGAAACATACCTCTGATCAAACTTCATAACCATTTATAGTCGTGCTAGTTTTTGTGAAATGTGCGGCAGAATTTTGTTCAGTGGGTGAAACATTTCACCGCTCTCCAATAATGATGAGTAGCATGGAATGCCTTTCGGTTTAAATGGAACAGCTTGAGTGTACATTGTCATATTCAGTAGTGGATGGTTTCAAAATATCTTTGAAAGCTCGTTGATGATAACTAATCTGAGCCCTTTTCTTTGGGTTGAGATAAAATTACATTTTATTTTGGAAGTAAATTAGAGCCTCCAGGGCAAGTTTTTTCCTGCCAGCGTTTTGTTTCATATGAAGAGAAATTTTCAAAATTCATTGTTGGAGTTTTATGTTGGTCTCATACAATTCAAAAAGCAACAATCCTTAGATTAAAAAAAACACTAAAATGTCTATATGTGAGTAAATTGTGGGACCTATTGTATATTCATAAAAGTTTTATCATTGTAAAACTTATAAATTTGTAATAGGTTGTAATGCTCTTATAATTATTATTATTTTTTTTACTTTTGCACAGTGGTTTTTAGGGAATGGGGCTGCAAGGAATCAAATTCGATATTATCTAAATCTTCATCTTTTAGTAAGAGTTCGTTTATCACTCAGACCACGAGTATTTGGTTATTATATGTGTTATTTAAATAGATGGTAATTAATCTGAACCTTTTATTATTGTATTAAATATAATAATGAGTAACGGATCCGTGTTATCGCACAAATACTCGTCTATTTGATTTAGCATATTAATTTTGATATGAAAGACAAAATTAAATGACAGTTTGATTAATTTTTTAAAATATTATATAAAATAAAATATATATGAAAAATATATGTATGTATAATGAAAGTTTAATTGTTAATTAAAAGATTGTAATAAAGTAAAAGTATGTTGAGAAAGTGTCATGTTATTAAAAATGAGAATGAAACAAATAAAATAAAAGAAAAAAAATAGTCGTTAAGGTTGTTAAGGGTTTTATATTAAGATATAAAATTCATTCGAAATATTTGTATATTTAGTGTAGTATATTTTGAATAATATGAATAACATACGTAAATGCTATTCATTTATATTTTATTAATTATTATGTAAATTAATTATATATGAAAAAAATTAATTATGTCAATGTAAAGTTTTAGATATAAATGTAAAATTTAAAATGATTTACTTATATGTAAAATGAATAATATTCATATAGATTTAAAAATTAATTATACAAATGTAAAATTTTAGATATAAATACAAAATTTGAAATAATTTACTTATATGTAAAATGAACAATATTCATATAGATTTAATTATATTAAATAATCATATAAAAATAAGAAGAAAAAAAAATTGTGAAAAAATAGAGAAAAATAAATATTTAAAAATAAATATTTTAATTCTAAAAAATAATTAATTTAAATATTTAATAGCGTGTGTAGGGTATGCGGGTGTGTTGGTATTGTGATTGAAATTGCAGTTGGGTGTGAGGCATATGGGGGTATTGGTACTGAGGTGATGATTGTGGTTGGTTGTGGGGCATTTGGGTGTAATTATATTGTGGTGGCGACTGTGGTTGGGTGTTTGTGGTTCTGTTTCGTCTGGGGGGTTGGTGGGAGGTTGATGTGTGTTGGGTTTGTTGTTGGGGAAACGAGGGTTGTGCCCATTGTGTTCGTGGGTCAACTAAATACCTTGGATGAGACACGTGCATTTCAGGGTTACTAACCAACTTGTACCAAGATAAATATTGATCTGTGTGTCGCATATTATCATGATTGAGGAAAACCAGGAATTGCAAGACATGTCGGTGACGCCTCTGCCACATCTTACACCATTCTGGAGCAAAGTCTTTCCAGTTGGTAAGACCCCACTGGGCGTCGACCCTTTTGAGATGCCACGGGGACAAACAAGTCGGATCACTGGGTATCTCTTGATGCATTCCGAACTGCATCTTCACACGGTCGTTGTGGTGCATTTCCACAACATTGAACCGTATGATTGCAGTCTTGGCGCTCCAAATTGTTGCATCCTCGGGGTTTGGTTCATGGCCCAAACCCAAATATAGTCTCCAGACAAACTGCGCATAAAATTAAATCAGGTTAACGAAAACGTAATATATAAATAATTTAAAAGTAGAAAAGTTGAAAGGTACGAGGTACATCATCCGGGCCTAGGTGATCCAATAGATTGCGGTATAGTGCGACATTGAATCTTGGATTCTTGCCGTAATCCATACCCCTCACGCAATACCTAAAGGAAATGAAAAATATTTTATTTTTAGCATATATTTGGTGAAGAGATGAACAATAATAAATGATATAACTTGATGACTTACTTTGTTGCGTACGGGAAAACGAATGTGTTGTTGTTGACGGGGTTTAGGGACTCCATCCTCCACCAATCCCAGGCTTGAAGTGAAAAAGCGCAGCCATAAAATGTACATTTTTCCTTGATTGCATTTTTGCACAAGGAACTGTATAGGTGGGCTAAAACAGCAGAACCCCAACTATACTTTCTAGTTTTTTCGAAATCTCTAAGTAAATTTAAATACATAAAATTTACACTATTTCCCGTACTTTCGGAAAATAAAAAGGTTCCAAATAGTATCATTAGATAAGTTCTAGCTTTTATCACCCTATCTTGCTCGGAGGAATTTTCGTTTAATTCCAAAGTTGCATAATGATTTTTAAGCTCAGTTAGTAGTATACCCCGACCTCTCGCACCAACACCTTCAACCATATCCGTGCCCAACAATTCTTCACACAGAGAATTGGGTTGTTGAACCGACCCGTTAACGGCCTTACCGTCGACAGGGAGACCCAGTAACATGTACACATCCTCTAGTGTGATGGTACATTCACCTATTGGTAGGTGAAATGTATGGGTCTCTGGTCTCCATCTTTCCAACATTGCAAGTATGAACTTTGAATCAATTGTGCAGTTGGAGATCTTTATAACATGTCTCAAACCTGTGTATTCCAAATATGGTACGATAAATGGGTTGGGAGCCAGGTAGTTGTGAGACCGGATTCTGAATCTTTTGGTATCCTGAGTTAATAATGTAAAAGGTGTAAGATTAAGTAAGATGGACAAAGCATTACCTGAAGTATAAAAAATGTATAACTAGAATATAAACTTACAAATGCGGCAATGTTATCCCTTGTGCCTTTATGAGAATCACCCATTGTGAGAAAAGCCATTGTTGAAAATGCCTGAGATTATGAAAGACTTAGAAATTGTAAGAGATTATGGAAGACTTTGTAGCAGAGAGTGAGACGATTGTGGGTGCGAGAGAAGTATGTTATGCTCTGTATTTATAGGCAAAAAAATTTCATAGAGTAAGTGAGGTGGTAGTTGGTGCATGCATGCATGATAAGTGTCACTCTTACAGAGTAGGCGCAAGCTAGGTGGCAGCCTTGGAGAAGGCATCTCTGCATGCATGTAACACGATTGGACATTAAGGGAGGCGACATTGGACTTGGCGAAAGAGTACAAAAATGAAAGGTGTCGCCATCCCCATTGGCGAATAAGAGGTGGCATGGGTTGCAGAATAGGCGCAAGCTAGGTGACAGCCTTGGAGAAGCCATGCCTGAATGCATGTAACTCTATTGGAGGTGATGGGAGGAGACTTACAGGTTACAATATAGGTGCAGAGTAGGCGCAGGCTAGGTGGCAGGCAGCCTTGGAGAAGGCATCTCTGCATGCATGTAACACGATTGGACATTAAGGGAGGTGCCATTGGACTTGGCGAAAGAGTACAAAAATGAAAGGTTTTGCCATCCCTATTGGCGAATAAGAGGTGGCATGGGTTGCAGAGTAGGTGCAGGCTAGGTGACAGCCTTGGAGAAGCCATGCCTGAATGCATGTAACACGATTGGAGGTGATGGGAGGAGACTTACAGGTTACAGTGTAGGTGCAGAGTAGGCGCAGGCTAGGTGGCAGCCTTGGAGAAGGCATCTCTGCATGCATGTAACACGATTGGACATTAAGGGAGGCGCCATTGGACTTGACGAAAGAGTACAAAAATGAAAGGTGTCGCCATCCCCATTGGCGAATAAGAGGTGGCATGGGTTGCAGAGTAGGCGCAGGCTAGGTGACAACCTTGGAGAAGCCATGCCTGAATGCATGTAACACTATTGGAGGTGATGGGAGGAGACTTACAGGTTACAGTGTAGGTGCAGAGTAGGGCAGGCTAGGGAGGAGCCTTAGAGGTTACAACCTTAGTTAATTCAAATTCAGTATGACCTATTTAGTCTTACATTTATCAAAACACTGATTCACTTAATCCGTCAAACCTTTCAACCTTCAAACCTTCAAACAATCAAACCTTCAAACCTTCTAACAATCAAACCTACAAACCTTCGAATAACTCATAAACTTCAAACCTTCCAACCTTCAAACCTTCAAACAACCATACGCAATGGCCTCTGCACCCCAATATGTCATCAGTGCACATTTCAACGGTGAGACATACATTTGTCCCACCTCTGGGTTTTTGTTTAGAGACACAGACAACATCCAATTTCATTTAAACGGGAAAGCCAATTTCTCGTACTTCAAAAAATGATTGGAGGCCAAACTTGGACGAGGCCCGGTGACATAAATATTTTATCAGAATCCAGTTTTTTTGGTAACAACCAAATAATATTTTATAAGGCTGAGGTTCAAGATG